TTAGTTTTTTTTCTCACATCATTTTAACACATGAATGATTTCATTCTGAACCCTTGATCATTGAAATAACTGATACATTCACATACATTCTTAAATAACTGGTAATACTACCAATCTCAGTTATTGTTTAGTGTGTTTGTGCGTATATATATATATATATATATATATATATATATATATATATATATATATATATGTATAGTTAACCCGTGTGTGTGTGTGTGTGTTACGTACAAATTTTGCACTAGTGGTGTTTTTCATTTCACTCATTAATTCATTCCGTTTATTGCATAACGCCTACACTTTACTGCTTGTTGAAGAATGTGGGAGAAAATTTTCCTGGTGTTGTCTTTACATATTAACTACTTATATTTGCTTGAATGTCATAGAGACATATGTTCGTTGCTTTGTCCCACAACTTTCAATATATATATATATATATATATATATATATATATATATATATATATATAAATGAGAATTTGGGCCACGGTTGAACTATAACCAGCAACTACCTGGTTTCCAGCTCGTTGCTCTACCAACTGAACTAGTAATTAATCATATATGCATATATGAGTGTTAAAACCATTGGGAAATGGAAGTCAGTCTATGCAGATCATCATTTGTTTGTAGTTAGAATTCAGTTTGATTATCCAAAGAGGTAAGAATGGCGATAAACTGCATATTCGATTTTTATTGTTCTATAATTAGTGGGTGAGACCTTCCTGTTGTAACATTTGGCATATTGAATAAGTGATTTCAAGCAGAATCACTGATGAAAACAGTGATATGAAAATCTGGCAGTTGACGGATGTAATGTTGACGTCTCCTGTGAAATTTCTAAATATCTTGTAATTTATGCACTCACAGTTAAGTATATGCTTGATAAAGATTGATTCGATTGGTTGTTAAGTAGACTTATCAGTCAGTCTACCTCATCAACATGAGACCTAAGGTCACTTTATAACGGTCCAAGTTATCACACCTTAAATCGACACATCAAGCATGAAGGCGTCACAATGAAAGGTAGAGAAATAAGAGAGGAAGTAGTCTAAAGTGATGGAAACTTGTGAAATGTGAACAAGAAGAAACGACCAATAGCTGATGCCTTGATATTGTGGTCAAGGTAGCATACTAAGATGACCCAACGAGCTATGCTGATGGGAGCACTTGCTCCCTGAGGTCCTACCATACCAGAAACGTCTGTTGGAAAGTGGTAAGAAGAAAAACGGATATTGTAACAGCGTAAATTACTTCACTATGGTGGGGTTATGATGTGGGCAATCTGGAAATGTCAACTGCCCTTACAACTCTGTTAGTACTCAAGTAATTTGATAGTAATGTTGATGCTATTCTCTAATGATTTTCTATCAGTGATCACAATGTTCTGATGACATAATTTATTCAAAGCTTAGGTACACTACGTTTAAACATTTCAAATTATGCTCTGGTGTTTCTGCGAAATGCTTTTTAACCAATAAATGCCTACTCACATTTGATCATTCATTCGATAAAGGATTGAAAAGTGTAATCACTTCAAAGACTTTAGTCTACCAGTTTACATCAACATATCTGAAAGTATATAAAGATTGCTCTAGGTTATCTGATAAACGATTAGTGAGGATAAGTATTTCAAATTCCTTAAATAAATCATTAGTTGTTTTGTGGGCCAAAAAAGACGTGTCTCGAAGATCATCGCTGCTAATGCGATGGAAACGGGCATAATATACACATCAACATTACTTGTCCCATTCGGGTAGCCAGATATCATTGATAGGCTGAAGATCACATACAATCTGATCACTTTCCGTAATAGATTGAAAATGTAAATCAGTTTTCTGTCCAGTGCTATTTCGGTATCCGTAGAAAGTCATTACTTGCACTATACTTACATTCCACAAGCTGTAGTTAATCGGCTTGGACAATCGAACGATTTACTGCTAGCCGGAATTCTACATGATAGGTTTGGCTAACCAACCTAGTGTACGGTCCTCCATGTGGTTAGCTGCTGAGTTGCCTTTACATGTAAACTACCATGCAATACTCATCTATTGATTTCTGTTAGATCCCGTACCCATTGTTTTCATTTTTCTTAGCACTTAAAAGTTCCCTATGACCCTTGTTGGTGTTTCGAAATAACTTTTAGTGACTATGATGATACACTGCATCAGACTATTCACTACTGACCAGTATCTTTCGCACTAACAACTATATTTCAGAGCTTTATTTTATTTATAACTCTAAAACTTTAGTTGCAGAGATCTGAGGGTTCCCTAAACAATGTAAATATTTATGTCATACTTGTACTACAGGTAACTGTTGTATCACAGCTACAATCGGCTGGACAATAACTTGAAATATCAACCTTATACTTTTTATTACTGCGTTACGGTCTAAGTTGCTACACCTCATTTCAACACACCAAGTAGAGGATGTATAAGGGAACATTTGAAGAGTTCTCATATGTGAAGTAGTACTGAGTTCAAGAAAAAGTATATGTAAACATATTTTAAAATTTGATAATGAAATTAATCTTTGTATAATGAATACTTTTCAAAGCGCCTTTATTCTAGTCCATCAGACTTGGATTACGTTGGAGGTTTTTTGCTATCCTAAGTGTTAGCAAAAGGTTGAATGGCATCTCCACCCATTTCAAGACATTTCATTAAATTTTTCTATGATTTTCAAAGTGTTTAGGTATGAAAAATAAAGGTAGACATTTTTTACTTTACCATAATAATATTTTTAAGGGAGAAGAATTATGAATTCGTTTCGTGTTGAAGTGTGTTTTTGTTGTGAAAGGTTAACTTAAATGACTTCTTTGTAGGTTAATGGATTCGATCCCAAAGAAGCGAATTATTAATCCATTATTATCACTTTTTCATCGTATCCGACTCACAGTTGATATAAGTGTAAAACTTAGCCACTGTTATCGAATCCACTCTGTACTTGTCTGCATACATGAAGTACTCTGCATTTAGTATACGTAATCATTTTTGATTGCAAGGTCTAGTAAGCTTCATCAGTAGAAAATCATTTCAAGCCACAAGTCTTCACACTTGACAGCTATTCATCAATCAATAAGATGAATCTGTAAGGTTTACGCGACTTATTTATTTTGTTCAGCTGTCACTTTATTTGACTTGAATGTCTCATCTCCATTGAAAAATGTATTCTTATCGTGTTTTATCAATGGTGTCTCATTCGCTGGTTGAGAAACTTCTATCATTAGTAATGATCAGGTGTTGTTGATGTGCAATACATCATCCTCTCTCTGTATAGCCATGATATCAAACTTGAATTGATTTTATACATATTGGCGTAAAAAAAGTGCATGTAATTTGTTACTTTCATTGTATCAACACTCCTGAAATGTTGATCATACATTAGATTACACTTTTTCTTCATTATTTACTCTTTTCTGTTGTGTTTTGCATTGTTTCTTCTGTATAAGTGTAAATTGATCATGTTGTGTGTGCGCGTGTTCTCGCCTTTTCAAAAGTTTTTTTTCGTTTTGTGTGTATGTGTGTGTGTATGTGTGTCTGTAAATGTAGCACCATATCGATCTGATATTTTCTTATTGGAATGTCAATCGTATCCGTTTCGCATACATCTAAATCTACATTCTGTGTCTTTGTTTCTCTCTCCTTTTCTAATGAGTCAATTAAAATATGCATTTCATTTTAAGTCCACTACACAGTTGGGTGCATCATACTTCTTAAATGGCAATAAACACACTGTATGCCAAGGTGTTTTTGCATACACTTCACGCATTGTGTTCTATCGATTTGTCAACTTTGTGTCTTTTTATGACTGATTCAAGAGATAATAGTGACGATTAATGCGGTTCAAAGGAAGTGTAGATTTCAACGGAATCCTAGTCAATGTACTTGACTGGTTATCTAAACTCACTTCATTTCAGACTTAAAAAGAAGTCGTTTTTCGCTTTTACAAATATTCACTTGCCAGATGATGTTTCCATATGTTATCGTTGGTTTATTTTTATTCACAGGATTTCCCGTTATCTGCATACTTATAAGTTCATTTCATTGTTTACTATAAATGTTTTCGGTAGAACTAAACTTTGGTGACGGCCGATCACCTGCAAGTAAGCATTGGCCAATCAGAATTAAGAATATGAAGGACAAAGTAGTTATTACGGAAAATGGCCCTTTATTTGCTTGAGAAATAAAGATATCTAGATTTTCAATAAGTTTATCATCTTTGAAACCATCCTGTTGTCGGTACTGCCACTAATGCGTATGATAGAACATCATCTGAATGACATTTGGGTAATTTTCCTTCGTGATCCCCTTAAAGTTCTTAAAAACTTTCTAAGACGACGTCTCCACATATTTTCACAGTTGGTTATAGGCACTTCAGGTATCCGATCAATGAAGGGCTTTCTGCGGACATTAGTTTCATGGGGGTACGACTTACAAGTGTCTGTGTGTATTATGGTGCCTAATCCCATGTATTTTCTCTTAACTTCTAGGATAGATCTATCCCTTATCCACTGAAAATGTCCTTTCTTCGTATTTCAGCCGTATACACCAAGAACCTACAGTTTACTAAGACAAATGTATACATACATAAATGGGTAGTTTAGAACTTAACCAGTCCTAGGTGGTATTCAAGTTCATGAAAAAAACCTTCATTTGTTTCAACCAAACTACCTTCTTCAAGAAATTCTGCATGCAACCTGCAACGTTATCTTCGTTATAATTCACCAAAGGTTTATGCTATGTAAACAACATGGTACATGGAAATAACAAATAGCTTGAATAAATGGTCTCCCAAATGATTGGTTGTCCACAAAGTTTGCTGTCACTAAAGTTTAGTTCTACCATGTTTTCCAGCCCGTTTTTTTAAATATTAGCTTAATTCTCTATTCACACCCCCCTCCCCTTCCAAAGAAATGGTGAGAACAATTGTCTTTATCATAATTATTTTGTGCTTATTTTAAAGAGAATGATTTTTTTATTTTTTTATTTATTTAGACGAAATATGTTCTGCATTCTTTTCGGTGTAAATCTAAAGCTGCAACATTCGCGTTTTGGCATTGGGCTGTTGACCGAAAATGCTTTTTCACGTATGTTAATAAAATAAATAGTTGAAAATATATTCGATTAAATTTTGAGGGGGTTGTGGAGATTTGGAAATATTTCAAGTTGTTATTCATCGAGAAGTATTCCCGAAGTTCCAATGACAAGTCGTGACCGGTGGAGTCAAAGCCTGATGGTCGTGAGGACAAATACTCAACGATGACATTGGGTGGCGGTTTGCGCTATATCGTGAGCTAACAGAAGTTGGAAATATGGAGCATTGGATTCTGACTCAGTGGCTCAATGGCAACGCGCTGGTCGCGGAACCTGAAGGTCGCGGTTTCGATCCCTGCTGGTGGGGTCGTGGGTGCGCACTGCTGAGGAGTCCCATACTAGGACGAAACAGCTGTCCAGTGCTCCCAAGTTTCCTTTGTTCCTCCAACTGATGTCAGTCTTCGATGAATAACAACTTGAAATATTCGATTAACATTTTTAATACTAGCGCCAGTTATATACCATCGTTTATTCAATTATTTTGAGATTTGTGTGTGTAGATTTATTTATTGATTTCAGGTTTGGTATTCATCATAGACTGGTACCATTTGGAGAAACTCTAGGAACCTGGGAGCACTGGACAGCTATTTCGTTGTATTATGGGATTTGTTAGCAGTGCACACCCATGACTCCTCCAGGGATCGAACACATGACCGTATTGTTTAAAATACAGAATTAATTTCAGTTGCAGAAGCGGTAAACGCTGAAATGCTTAGTTTACCAGTAAAATTTTGTAACAGACAGGCTTCCAAAACTATGTAGTGAACTGGTAGGCTATTCGTTATCATATACTTCTGCGTGGATTAGTCTTATATAGAGTTATCTTCAAATATACGGATGTTCTCATTCTAGAATAATGTCGCCTTATTGCGTGATTCATTCTCAGAGTTGATTCATTTGGAAATAATAGAAGTAATTCAGAAGTACCCATAATGATTTTCTATACTCATCACCATTTTTTATATTTTGTTTGTGCTTTGAAGTTTCTTTAGCGGTTAGATTTGTTTTACGGGGTAGGGTTGCTAGCCCTATGCCCAACCTTCTCTCTTTACCCGGGCTTAGGACCGGCTAGTAACTAGTGAACTAGTTAACCAACGAAAATGGAAGTCCTGAGTGCCATAAAGCTACTGAAATGCGGGAAAGCAGCAGGACCAGATGGGATACCGCCAGAAGCACTGAGAACAGATGCAGAGACAACAGCGGACATGCTCACACCACTATTGCAGAAGGTGTGGAAGGAAAAGAAGGTACCTGACGATTGGAAGAAGGGTTACCTTGTCAAACTGCCGAAGAAGGAGACATCAGTGCTTGCAAGAACTGGCGCGGAATCACTCTCCTGTCCACCCCACGTAAAATATTAAGCCGCATCATCCTGGAGAGGCTTAAAGATGCACTGGATTCAAAACTGCGACCGGAACAGACAGGCTTCAGGAAGTACAAATCATGTGCAGACCAAATTGCAACGCTTCGCATCATCATAGAACAGAGCACAGAATGGCAATCAGCTCTCTGCCTCAACTTCATCGACTTTGAGAAGGCCTTTGACAGCGTCGACCGAGAAGTAATTTGGAAACTGCTTCAATACTACGGAGTACCGCAAACCTTTATCCGCCTCATTCAACAACTATATGAAGATGCCACATGCCAAGTAATTCACAATGGGAATCTCAGTGATGATTTTGAAGTGAAGACAGGAGACAGGAGTGAAACAAGGTTGCCTACTATCCCCCATGATATTCCTGATTGTGGTCGACTGGATCATGCAGCAGACAACAGTGAAGAGGGAGAAGAGGGAGATACGCTGGCTGGACTGCGGAAAAGAACCTAGAAGACTTGGATTTCGCCGATGACTTGTGCCTAATGTCACATAAACTTGAAGATCTGCAGGCAAAAACTAACAAGTTGACAGAAAAGGGAGGGCAGCGAAGACGGGACTTCAGGTGAATATAGAGAAGACAGAAGTGATGAAGATACCGCACCACCACCATCAACAACAACAACAAACTCCAGTCACCATCAACGGGAGAAACTTAAAGGAAGTAACCTCCTTCACTTATCTAGGAAGCACTGTTTCAACTACAGGCGGGACGGACGAAGACGTCAAAGTCAGAATCGGAAAAGCAAGACAGGCGTTCATTAGCCTGAAACCAGTGTGGAGATCTTCTGTGTTCAGCATGTGGAACAAGATACGGATTTTCAACACCAACGTCAAGTCAGTGCTTCTGTGTGATGGTTCAGAGACTTGGCGCGTCACGAAAGGCATTTCCAATAAACTACAGACATTCATCAACAACTGCTTACGCTCGCTACTGAAGATCAGATGGCCAGAAAGAATAAGCAACAAGGAACTCTGGGAACGAACCAACCAAGAACCTATCACGCAACAAATATGCAGGAAGAAGTGGAGATGGATTGGCCATGCACTGAGAAGGCCGACTGAGGACATCACGCGTCAGGCCAGTCACTCGAGTGGAATCCCCATGGGAAGCGACGAGTTGGACGTCCGAGGGTGACATGGAGGAGGTCGTGCGAGGAGGAAATGAGAGCTTGTGGGCTGTCATGGAACCAGGTTCAAAAGATCTCAGAGAACAGGATGAAATGGAGACGTGCTATTGAAGCCCTATGTTCCACTAGGAACCCAAGGGACTAATAATAATAATATAATAAATACTCATCACCATAGTGATCGAGTTAGCTGAATTGAGTGCTGCGTACCTTTGTTGACAATCAATACACTATGGAATGATCATGCCTAACAACTAAATTGAATCAGAAAGGCGAATCCTATGAGAAATCTTATTAGCTGAATGAAATCAAGTGTTTTTCTATGATATAAACAAATATGGATCATGATTTTGCCAACTTACAGACTGGATTTTGCCTGCTGACAAAGAAGGAAACTTTCTGCAAACATTACATTCGTCTACATTTCAATATGTTGAAAGGCTATGTGCCGTTTTTGAGAGGTCTTCTTGGTCTTTTCGATGGTGCTGAATATCATTATTCTCAGAAGTACTCAGTCTATGAACAGCTTATCTAACAGAAGTGTATATGACGTACTCAGTGGAGATTATTTGTATCTCAGGTTAATGGTCTTGGTTGTATTTTATTCTCTGAGCTAGGTTTTTTAATCATGAAGCTTTCATCATCTTTGTAGGCAACATCATCAGCACTAACTTTAGTATGAAGTGAGCTGTCAATATCTCTCTGTGAATGACTTAGTAACTTGCCCTGACGAAGTAGTTTGTGATGGTTGTTTCCTTTGATTGTTGTGTCATTGACTGTATAGATTTTTCTGTTAGCTTCTTCTCTGTTTAACCCCTGACCTTTCTGTCATCATTTCCCTCATAGGTTGATGGATTGGGTCTATATCTATGCATCTATCGATTGCTGACTGACCTGAATGCCAAGCTTCTAGCAAATCTCTGATATTCTTTGATTTTCCTCTGTCCAAGATTTCTACATTGTCGAAATTGAATTCATGTCCATAATTATCTACATGCATTGAAATGAGTGATGAAATATCGTGACGTGAAGGTCAGAGGTTAAGCAGAGGAGAAGCTAACAGGAAAATCTATACAGTCAATGACACAACAATCAAAGGAAACAACCAATCACAAACTACTTCGTCAGGGCAAGCTACTAAGTCATTCACAGAGAGATATTGACAGCTCACTTCATACTAAAGTTAGTGCTGATGATGTTGCCTACAAAGATGATGAAAGCTTCATGATTAAAAAATCCAGCTCAGAGAACGCAATACAACCTCTACGTAAACGGTTGTTGTAATAAGAGGACTAGTGCATGCTTGAATCCTGAGTAGACCGTCTCAATGTGACCAGCTACTCGTGTGTGTGTGTGTGTCTTCTAGTAATTAAGCTAAATGACTTTAAAAGTATATCACTTACCAGCAATAGGTAGTTGAAGACTACTGCCAAACTGCTGTGTATAGCCGCTTGTGACCCTGACCACTGTTATTAATCAATATTGATGTCGTTATATTGTTGTAACTAGTATGTTTCACATCACTCACTTCTCATAAGTTTGTTAATCGATAAAAATATACAAAAAATAAGCTGACAGTGTTTGTAGCATTTTCAGAGCAGCTGAGAATAAATTCGAGCAGTCCAGACAGTGTGATTTGCCTTGAAATAACAGGATGGAAAGGTTGATCAATATTTTGGCTAGTAGATATTGCCAATATTTCGTATGTCTATTATACATGAGTTTGTTCGCACTCCTGGAAACATTGATATTAATCAACTGACACTTTGATCAAAGTATCATGAATTCTAAAAAAATTAGTCTTTATTTTTCGTCTCTCATCCTACACTAATTGATTTCCACATCTTCTCAACTATGAATCTGACCAACACTTTACTTTGTTTCAACATCACTTGTAAATCTACCAATTGTTTAGAAACTCGGTAGAATAAAATTAGTCTTTGTAAAAATATTAATGACTTGTTTTATTATTATTATGACCTTGTTGTCAGGTTACTTTGGGATTAATTAAGTTCCAAGTCTATTAGCCAGCATCCTGTGAAACATCAAAATGTGACCTATGAGCATAGAATCAATCAAAGCTTGTTCATTTTATTAGAATAAATATAGAAAACAAATAAAGAGCAACTTAGTGGAATAGAAATTAAAGTATCATGTTATTGCTAGGTGGCCTAGTGGATAACGAACGCTTTGGCGTTTGAAGTGGTCGGTTTAAGGTTCGAGTCTTAGTAGGAACAACATCGCTGACTGGCAGGCATGTACATCCACCAGATGGGTCCAAAACAGGACGAAATGCGGGTCCTAGCCACTATCCATCATTATTACATCATACTGTATGCAGACAGATGGATAAACAAAATCAGCGTAGAGCTTCGCATACAAGTGCATCGGTTAGATTTGCCAGACTACGCAGTAGTATGCAAAGAACAGGTAGACAGAAAAAGAGTGATATCCAAGTAGATAAAATAGTGTAAGGGAATACACAATCTGAAGAAAAAGGTTATTGTGAATATTTAAGGTTTAGAAGATGTCAAGGAGTGAACACGTCTGCTCCATCGTGATCGATTTTCAGCCATGTCACCAAGAGTCCTCAACCACTGATTCCAGACATTTTCCATCTCTTCATACAACTTGGACCAACAACAAGAGACTTCATGTCATATCTTGGTCTAACCTCCCTCAACCCTTTTTCAAACTAATCCAACTTCTCCTAGCATTGAACATCTGGGTAAGCGGTGACCTAAACATTCATAACACAGCAATGGTGTATGCCTCCTAAACTACACTTATTACAAATGAAACTTTTGTGTGTATACTGTCAGTTGACTGTTTGTAAGCCAAAGAAAAAGGTAAGCTGAAAACCAACCTTCAGGCTTGTTTATTATCTCTTACAACATAAATACATGGCTCATTAAGAAAAATTCATTCACTAACTGATATTGAAGAAGAAAGAGTCATTTTGTTAGAAAAGTATTTTTCTGGTATGCTTGATGTTTGCTGTGTTCTGTTTTATTTTTGTCTTCTATAAATATGTAGTTAGATGATGTTTTCTGTGTTTCTCTCTCTCTCTCTTTCTCTGTGTATGTGTGTTTATCTTAGTCTAAAACAAGCTAGTGAAGCAAAGAAGATTAAACCCTCTACAAATATATTCAATCGAAGTCACACGTATCGATTCAGGTAAGAATAAATTTACAGAATTTTATATCGACTGTCCAACGTAACCTCCAGACTGCTATGGCTTGGTAGTTGCGTTATACTTTCGTTTTGTTTTGTTTGTTGAATGAATTCCTTCTTCTGAAGATGCATATAAGCAAATAGATAGATAAAAGGTATGATTATAGTTGTGTTCTTTTGTAGACAATAGAAAACGTAGACCTACATTTCATACATGTTAGCATATATTCATCTTCTTTAAAGTTGCATTAACTCTTTCTTTTCCAATAAACAATTTTATCTTGTTTTACGTTCAAATTATTTCGACTTTATCTCACTTTATAGAAGGAGTTTGAACTTTATGAAGCTTGTATATTTGTATTCCCAATGTGTGTCAGCAGCATCAATGTCAACGAGGAGTCATGTTAAAGTCCTGATAACCTACAGGCTACGACCATTCAACACCAAGTGTATTGCATCATAATCTCTAGTCAGACATTGTGCTGGGTGGTATTGAACGCTGCAGTCAATAAGATTTCACTATTAGGAGTGACGAGTTTATTTAGATTGACCTTTGTTTCTGATCAGTAGTTGTTGTATGTTGGATTTACCGTGAGGATATATTACATATGCTGTTTAAATGCAAGAACTATTCATTGTGTTGCGTTCTCTTAGTTGGATGACTTAGTCGTGAAGCTTTCATTGTTCTTCTAGACAATATCATCATTAATGGTTCCAATATTACGTGAGCTGTCAGTATTTCTCCGTGAGTGAATTCGGTGATTTCCCCTGATGAAGTGATTTATAATCGGTTTTTTCCTTTGATCTTATTGTCTAGACAGACAATGAAAGCTTCACAATTAAAACCACTCAACTTGGAGAACGCAACACAACCTAGATAATCCATCTAAGCTTAAAAATATCCTCCAATATTTAAAAATCATATGAGAGTAACACATTTCGCGTTTTTCTAAGACAGGAACTGTCACATCATCCTGAAAATCATAAGGAGAAAAATATACGCCATAATTGAATGAAGTCAGTCTGAAAAAAACAAGACAACTAAACTGTTACATACAGTTTTCTCCCTTTATTCATACCACACACATTTCACTTGAAAAACAATGTACAGATGCTACTACCTGTACAGATCTGTATAAACCTCAGTCATTTAGGCTACAATGAAGGAAACCAGTATTGGATCAATGCTGTGGTCGTAAGTAGACGAATAAAACTGAACATAAGATATAATTGAATTTATTGCTTCACTTGTTTTGTGGTCTATTCGAGTCTCAGATACACTGATGGTGATTGACATTTTAGCTATTCTCATGTAACCTTAGTTTATTTATTTTCTAAAGTGCTGTTTAAAACAATAACCAGCAGTTCTTTCTTGGATAATTAAGAGATTTTTGGCTTTTCAAATTCAACAATCATGTATTATAATTCATTCCATTGTATTAGGCACGAATATTTGTTATAGGTGTTCAGGCTCAGAGTGACTTTCAAGTAACCAACTAAATGAAAGTATGAAACAAAAGATATTCAACGCTATCTCTCTCTATGATAAAGCATAACACGTATGTCAAACCTGACTGACTGAATGGGAAAGTCAAAGTAGAACCTCGTACACAAAAGCATCGGCTCAGTGCTCCATGCTTTATAGAAGTACACAAAGAACAGGTGGATGGGAAAGAGGATATTAAAGTGGATAAAGTTCCGTAAGAGAATAAGCAATCTGAAGATCACGGTTAGTGCGATAATTTGAGCTTAAGAAGATGTCAGCGAGTGGATACATCTGCGCTATTATGACTGGTTTTCAACCATGTCACTTACAGTCCTGAACCACTGGTTCTCTTTGTCTCGGAGACCTCAGCCAGGCAGTGTCCATCTTCTTTACGACAGACAAAGAGTCAGGGACTTCATGGACTAATGCCTTGTTTTGGTCTCGTTACGCTGAACTCTCTTCCAGCCTGATCCAACTTCTCTTAGCATGGCACGTCGAGGTAGGCGGTGACTTGGTATATACATAGTACATATCCAAGCCACATGAATCGACTTGCCTATCTCGTCTAGTACTCTTAGCCTGACCTCGACATTGCTGTCACGGTGATTTCACCAAACGTGAGGGATTCTGCGAAGACATATGTTATCAAAACCCTACAACTACTTGATGGTTTTTACTTTTAATGGCCATGTCTCACAGCCGTATAATAGGACCGAAGTGAAGTGGTCGGTACATTCCATTACTTTAATCGCTATTACTAAACTGGGAGTGGTTGGAGACGAGTCGTGGAGCATCATCTTACATTTGACAGATGTGAAACACATGCCAAACATACTCAGGTTTCTGCTCAAGGCGTCCAAAACACTCTACACTTTGTCAGCGTCTTAATCTATCAGGAGAATATTATCTGAATACTCCAAGCGAATCAGATGACCTCCAGGAAGTAGATCAGTCCCTGTGAAGTCAAAGTTACTTAAATTTATCTTCAGTAGTACGCCAATGACGAAGTTGAATAGAAATGGTGGCACTGGACATCCCTGACGAACAGCACTAGTCGTCTTCGATTTATATGACAATCATAACAATAATTACACTTTATTATCTGACAGATATGAATATAATGTTGCATAAATTCTGCACATCTCAGCATTAGAAATTTTTATTGTATTTTAATAACGATTGGCTTACTATTTTTCTAGAAAAATTGTTAGAAAATATGACTATTTCAAAAAATTTCAATTCAGAAACTTCACACTATTTTAAGAATTTTTGAATGTCCTCGAATTGGCAAATTTAGCTGCTGAAACTCGCACACTGACTCATCTGCAGGTTACTATGGAAAATTGTGTATATTCAAAATTAGTTTGTTCCCTCCTTGTTTTCTTTCTTACTTTTTTAGTAGTGACTGATTTAGGATTCAGATATAACGGTATTTGTGAGATTCTGTATCGTATATCCATCCAAGTATAGCTTATTGCTTGTACTCTGAAGCATTACAAAAATCTGAATCGATGTTAATATAATGTACGTATAGGTAGGTAGGTTGGTTAACACTGAAATCAAAGTAGTTACAATTAACGCCTAGTAACAGTTTTACTACTAAATGAGGAGGAATATGCGATTCATTATGATGCTATCTGTTCGTCTACCATATCAGCTTAAACTTTTTCGTAAATATATCATGAATATGCTTTGGAGACATAATGATCATTATTTCTGAAACCATGAAAATGCTAAAAAGTAGCTGTAATTTAATTAAAGTCAATAAACATCACTATATATCCCTCAAACCCTAATCATTGAAAACTTCCATATCAAATGTTTCAATATTTTTTCTGGTCATTGACTACTTGTCTTTTGTCCCGATCAGATATGCTAGTATAGAACTACTGTTGAATCTGGACCTGTGTTTAACGTGTCAGTTGATAATATGACTGTATGTATGTTGTGAAATTAATGGAAGTTGTGACGGGAGGCATAGATCTTTGAATTTATATATTACTCAACTATAACCTACTTTATAAAGAATAAAAAAACCGGTCGAATAAGACAGCAACTTATTATGAAAGTTAAAAGGTACAAAATTACAGAAACAGATCTTTATCTTTTCAACAACAAATATATAGCTATAGTTGAGCACTGTTTTGTTGGCTATTTGAGCAGTCTTGTAAAATGAATATTAAAACTTGTTCTTCTGACTAATTTATTCCTGATATCACTATATTCTAATGATATTCTTGTTAACACAGGTTGATTAGAGCATCTTTCACATATGCATACTTCATCTCATTGGTTTATTATCAACTAGTTTGCTAACTGTTTCAACAACTATTATTCCCTTTGACAATCAGTTAACTTTACAGACAGCCTACAAGTATATCTTACAAAAATAGCTCTTGATAAAACCTTTTGCTGTCTATTGATTATTCAGTTCACTAAAATTACCCAAAAATGTTACTGTCATGTTTTTTTTGTGTCCATCCAGTTAATAGGGATAATCGAATTCTTTATTTCTCTCAGTGAAATTATGCCTGGTTGTTGTTGTTGTTGTTATTTTTGACCGTAGAAGTAAAACATAGGCACTGTGGTTGATTATAATTCCATTTTGGTTAATTGATTAAATGTAGCATATTTAATAAATAGACGAGAATGGAATTAATGTACTTTTTAAAGATAGTATACATGTAACCATTTTAACCCTTACAGTGGACGATCTCAGCAAGAACTTCGACAATGTGCTGTATCTATGGCCAACCTTCCTCAACCGTCTTTCAATCGGTATGTCTATTTTTTGACTCCCCCCCTCCCCACATGTACTTATATGGAACGTTCTGCTTGCGTAACTTTTCTACGCTGCAACTGCGTTTTGCCTTTTCATTTACTTATACTGCTTAATTCCACTGTTTGAGCCAATGGAGATTTTTTTGTTAAGAATGTTGACTGTAACTAGTAAATAGACTGACTAGAATTTGTCACATGAAAGGAAAAGCAGAAAAATGTGTGAATTACAAGATGTAGATAATTTCAGTATGTGGAAATAACAACCTCGTAGGCTATCTTCAGTGATATCAGTCAGCCAGTCAAACAGTATCAACATGTGACGTGGGAATACTGTTTAACGGTTCAATTCACCATACTTCATAACAACACGTCGCAATAATATGATATGATGATTAGGATGGAGATAATATGTGGATGCATTTTCACCACTGCAACTGATACTGAGCCATACCACTTAGAGTTTGCACCCGTTGATTTTGATTGTCATGTTGATGCCAACTGTGAAATCCTGTAAGGTTCACTACATGGCTCAAGTCAACAATCAGAGACTTCATGGATTAATGTCACTTCCAATCAGGTGTCTAAATTGTTAGCTGTATGATCACATCAAATTATTTGTTTATTTATCTGATAGTGGGATGCATGATTCCATAAAATAGGTGTCCTAAGGTTCGATCAAATGTTAATTATTCTCCTTCTCATTATTTCATAGTGTTTCTAGTTTTCGAAAAGTCGTTGCACTCTATCCAAATGCAGAATCTAATGGTCGAGCCACATTGCCAGGAAGACTTCGTCCGTCAAGTGAATTCTCGGCAAATCGTTCAGACAAGCCTAAAACCCTAGATGAAGTTAGTACATTAATGGCGGCATTCACAGATATGCAAGAAAGTGAGTTTTTGTGATTATTTCATGATTTTGTTTGTTGAGTTGGTAATTTGTAGAGATTGTTTGATTTCAAGATAGTTTTCAGCATGGAATAACATTAATTGTAGAAATATTTAAAACCTGCGAGCACTGGACAACTATTTCATCATAGTTTGGGACCTCATGAGAAGTACATACAGACAATACCGTTAAGCTTTCAGCTCAATACCTTCAGGTTTCATGGGAAACAGGTTACCGTTCAGCCACTATATCAAAATTCAGGGGTTCAGATTTTTCTGCTTCTTTCATTTCGCGATGTACCGTGACTATCAGTCAATGCTATCGGTGACCATTTGTCCTCGTACTTGAATTACTTGACTCCACAGATCCCAAATTTCCACCGTAACTCCAGGGAAAGCATTTCATCAATGAGGGTTAAACAGTAAATCAGTGGTTTATGGGGATTGGTTAATTGTATGTTTAAAAAACTTCTTGTATCATGTTACATATTTTACAAAATATCCAAGATATTTATCGAAGTCAGTGTCGGTGAAAGGTGATGATTAGTTAACCTGAATAGTTGACTTTTCTACGAGTTCTTCTACAAAGACATAAAACTGCAACTTAGCCCCTCGTACACGTATGAATCAGTCGTTATACTTCACAGCAACACGCTCACAAATTAGTAGATAAAAGTGAATGACAGGAGATGGAATAAATAAATGAATTGTTCGAAATTCTGAAGACCCTGTCGTGGTCGTTTTTGGGTCATATCGTTGAGAGTTTCCAATCATTTATTCCTATTATATCATTTACATCTTCCTTGACAACCCATTCAAAGAGCCAGAGAGTTCATAAATTGATACCACTCATTGGTCTGGATAGCTCTATTTTCCTCAACTTATTTCCGCATTGATTGACATCATGAATTCAAGGAGGTAATAGCTCGATGTGTACAACACATTGAGAATGCCTTATTTCCTGAAGGCTCGCAACTCATATAGTGATTTACCTTATATCGTATGTCTAACCTCAGCAAAGTTGACACCGTTATCCCAGTATATGCGGACGATGATACGAAGATATCTATGAATCAGAACCAGGAGCGTCATGTCTTCTTTCAAAAGGTGTTTACCACAGCTGTACCACAAAACAGATGGGACTTCTGCATAGCATACTCGTCCTTTCATAATTAGAAAGTTATGCATCATAGAACTTTACTGAATGACTAAATACACGTAGAACCTCGCGCAGAAGTGCATCGAGTAAATTTGCCACACTTTACAGTAGTATACAAAGAAGAGCTGAATAGAAAAAGAGTGGGATTAAAGTGGATAAAGTTGTCTGAGAGAATAAAAAATCTAGGCGTAACAGTTAACCCGAATATTCAAGCTTTAGAAGATATCAAGGAGTGAATAAAACTGCGTCATTGCGACCGATTTCGAGCTATGTAATCAAGATTCCTAAACCACTGATTCCTTTCATCTCTGGGACCCTAAACAGGCAGCCTACTTTTCCAGACAAGGCTCAGACCAGCAGTAAGAGATTTCATGAACTGGTGTCAGATCTTGTTCTGGCCACCCTGAACCCACTTCAAGCTTTATCCAACTTCCCCTAGCATTGCTCGTGGAGGTAGACGATGGCTTAACATATACACAGTAAATGTTCAAACCAGCTTAGTCGACTAAAATTGACAACCTTATCAGTCGGCTTACCTATCTCGTTTAGTACTCTTCGCCTGATCTCAACATTACTTATATGGTGATTCCACCAAACGCGAAAACAGCCATGATCAAAACCTTGAAACCGCTTCATATCTTCTACGTTCAATGACCATATCTCACTGTATAACTTTACTACCAATCATTACCTCATAGTCTGGATCCTAATACACTAAATGGTATAAGGATTTTGAGTTACATTAAATTAATTAATGTATAACTAATTATTCCATAAAGTAATTCACTATAGTAATAATAAATTTTGATAAAGTAAACTTCCACGTTTTTTATTAGAATTATTATGACCTCAAATGTTTACGGAGTAGCTGATTATTATTACTATGATCTTAAAGGCAGTTAATTTGAACTCTTTTTTTTTTTAATATCGTAATAACTACATCTATACATATCATTAAGTTTAGTTTAATTCACTCTTGACACGAGTGAGTGCATTTTATTCTTTCATCGAGTAAACTGCGTTGTATATTTCGCATATATTATTGATATGTTTTACATAGATTTACTGTTCACACATCATTTATTATTTTAATTTTATGCAAAGTGTGTAACAACGATATTGCTGTTAAATATAAATAGGCGTATAACTATAACTTACTAATCGATCATATATTGGTACCTAATGTCAAGTAATAAGTAACAAGCAAATAATTCTTTTATAATTTACCAATAGGTTTTTAGTGTAATCTAGCTACTAGTTGTTTGTGTGTGTGTGTGTGTGTATGTGAAGAAAAAGAAAACTATTACATATCTGTATAGTTTACTACTATCCACAGCATAGAAGAATAATTTATCTGTTGTAAACCTTTGTCACCAATTTACCCGAAATATAATACTTGGCTAGCGGATGAATTTTGCATACAAGTTAAGTAATCAAAGTTGTGTTGAATTTTGTAACACTTTCCAAAAAGAAGTGAAAATGAGCAGATTATATGAGAAGAGAAAGAATATTCAAGTAAAAACTGGTAGAATATGTAGAAATCAGGATTTGATAAAAAGTAATTACATGTTACTGATTTACTCTTAATATATCGAGTAACTCAATCAGAGCAGTGTCTATACTTCCCTATACAGCTCGTGTCACAGTTATGAACTTCATGGACTGGTGATATTATGTCTTTGTTGACCTTTCAATTTTCTCATCATCTAAATGTTACTGTTAGTCAGGATAGACAGTGATACATGATTACTGACATCTTACTATCATTCAGATTTTATACAGCTAGATTTGTGGTTTGGAGTTATTCATTTCAAGCGATTGAAATTTGTTAGATAATTCAAAATCCTGTTTATTCCTTGTAGAGTTAGTTGTTAATTAAACTGTAACAGAAGTTCATTACTATTTCATATCTTAATGGTTGACACTTTTTTTGTCTTCTTAACACACACAGTTAATGTTGATAGCACTTGTTCGTAGTTGTATTTCCAGAGTACATACGAACAACATATCTCTTTGTTGACATCCCTTGTTTGCATATCTTTCTTCTGGTCTGTTGCGTGCAATAGTCCCTAATCATTTTTTCACAACAGAATTTTATACATATTAGTTATTACTGAGAAGTATTCGCCTAAAGTTTTTTTTATTATTATTTATCCCTTGGGTTCTTAGTGGAACGTAGGACTTCAGTAGCACGTCTCTATTTCAATGTCTTCTCTGCAGTCTTTTCAACCCAGCTCCACCACTGCCCACAAGCTTTCATTTCTTCCTCACACAATCTCCTCCATGTCAACCTCGCACACCTAACTCGTCGTTTTCCATTCAGGTTCCACTCGACGACTTGGCCTGCTCTAGTACGTGATGTTCCAAAACGGTCCTCTAAGTGTATGTGCAATCCAATCCATCTCGACTTTCTTCCGCCTAATTTGGTGGATGATAGGTTCCTGGTTGGTTCGTCGCCAGGTCAGAGTTCATTGTTGCTTATTTTTTCTGGTCATGTGATCTTCAGTATCGAGTGAGCGTAGGTGGCAGATGTTTATGCACGTCTGCAGTTTGTTGGAAATGCTTTTCTTAAGGCACCAAGTCTCTGAGCCATATAGTAGAAGCACTGACTTGACTGACATTAGTGTTAGATATCTGGATCTTGTTTTTTATGCTGGGTGTAGTAAATTTCCACTCTGACTTCAGATTAATGAAAGCCTGTCTTGTTGTCTTTCTGATCCTGGCTTTGACATCCTCATCTGTGCCACTGCCTGTAATTTAGACTTTGCTGCCTGGGTAGGTGAAAGTGACAACTTCCTTTAGGTTTCTCCCGTTGATGGTGATTGGTGCTCGTTGTTGTTGTTGGTTGGGTATCTTCATTACCTCTGTCTTCTCTATGTTCACATGAGGTCCCCTCTTCGCTGCTGTGCCTCTTCTGCCAACTTGTTTTCGTCTGTAGATCTTCGATTTTGTTCAACACTAGACATAAATCATCATCGGCGAAATCCAAATCTTCTAGGGTCTTTTCATCGGTCAAACAGCGTATGCCCATCTTGTCGTCTAAAGTTAGTTAATTTTAAAGCTATTGATTGCATCACTGGAAAGTAATATAATAGTTATGAATTGCTAGTCACTTTGATGTGTTACTACTGGTTTTAAAATTAATCAGGCAAAGACAGTCCTTTATCCTCTTTATATTTGTATCCCTTAGATGCTCATTTCAAGCTTAGCAATAGAAAGCTCCGGATTTACTCATTCAGAAGAATCTTGTACAAGTAAATAATGCCACCTATAAGCTTCGTATCTGGTTCATCACATTCCTATCAGTACTTGTTAAGAGATGTCTGGATTGTGTACCGTGGCCCCTGCTGAACTCATGCATAGTGTAATGACACTTCACGCTGTCGTATCTGCCTGTCTGTTTGTTTTCTCAAACTTCAAACTTATATTAAGGTGAATAGACAAAGTTTTAATCATCTGCTGTTTATAGCTAACCGCTAACGTTTGGCATGTACTTTTCGTTTCTCTTCTTTAACTTTTGACCGTAGGCAGACATAGAGAGAATCAAAGTAGAAACTTGCGCACAGTTGCACTGGCTGAAGTTACCACACTTTACAGTACTACACAAAGAACAGATGGATAGAAAAAGAATTATATCCAAGCAGAAAACGTTGTGTGAGGGAATGAACAATCTGACGATAAAGGTTAATGCTAATATTCAAGGTTTAGAATATGCCAGGGAGTGAATACATCTGCGCCGTCGTGACCTATTTTCAGCTAAGTCACTAAGAGTCCTCAACTACTGATTTCTTTTCTCTCGAAGAACCCAACCAAGCAATCTACATTTCCCCCACACGACTCAGACC